GCAGGAGAGCACTGACATTGCTGGTGGCCTCCTGGTCTAGGCTGGTTCTAGTGCTCGGAGCTAGAAGCCCTGCAGCGTGGGCTGATCCTGCCCTGCCCTCCAGCCCTTCCGAACCCGTGGAAGGCGCCTCCGTTGGACGCGCCGCGTGGGAGCTCGATGCCCAACGGTGCGACCCAACAGCTCTTCCCAGTTAACTTCACCGGCAGCCGCTGAGGCTTTAAAAATCCAGGCAACTTCTGAAAACCTTGAGATTTAACTGGAAATGCAAATACCCGGAGCCTGCTGCAGCCATTGATGGTATTCCCAGCGACGTCCTGGCTCAGACCTGAGAACAGTAACTGCGATAATTGGCTTCGATTTTGAACATTTCAGCAACAGCCTGCTTAGCTTTTATAAAGAAACTAGTATTCTTTCAAGCTTTTGTGCTGCTCGTGGTGCAGTACCCAGCAGAAGTCACATTAAAAAGGACACGAGTGATGTTTTTGTAATATTTATTGAGGGTTGCCTTTATACACGAGGCTCTGGTGCTGCCACAAATGACCCAAAGAAACCCTGCTCAAGTGTCAACAAGCAATTCAACCCACTGAATTTAAATTATAACATCATTACACATCAATAATAAATTAAGACTATTGCCCAACAGTTGCAGACAATTTAAAAAAAAAATCCTTGTCAAAAGTAAACAAACCAAAACAAACAAGAGCAACGAAACACAAACAATGAAGTTGTCAATAAATTAACAGAGACAGGAGCACACACACATAGTGGTTTTCAAAACACTTGGGGTGCACTGCCACTAGTGCTAAAATCCATCTGTAGGTGCTATAGGTGACCTGGATGCTCGGGGTGGGAAGGAAAGCTCAGACCGACACGGACAGTGGTAGCTCAGCCACCCACGGGTCAGATCCAGCTTCTTCCCAGCCCCAAAATAGCCTTGGATGAACTTGGATGAAGCTGTCTTTAGGGTTTAGGTGCAAAACCTTTCAAAGATCCTTATTTTTTTTTTCTTTTTGCTCATCAGCTTGTTTAGTTCAAGCCCGAGAGGGATTATATAATAACAAAATAGGTGCTATAATAGCACCTGCTATAATAGGTGTCGGTGTCATTAAAAATCAGTTTAAAACACATACCTTTTTAAAGCAAGATAACTCTGTAGCAGATAAGTGCATAAGCAAAACTGAAATAAATCCTTTTTTTTTCCCCACTGAAACAGCAGTGTGTATTCAAGGACTTCGATTAGTTTAAAGCCTGATCATGAGTATGTAAATAATTGAGCTTGGGGAAAAGTCTTTCCCAGCACGGCATGGAGCACCATGAGCACCACGAGCAGAGCCCGTTCCCATGCCCGACCTCAGCAGCACTACAGTGCACGGCCCCTCGAGGTCCCCTCACTGCCTGCTGGTCAGAAGCCCGGATATTCCTCAGAATATCCATAACAAAAATCAGCACCTTCGTTGTGTGAGCTTTTCCCATCTTCCCCTCTCAAAGCATGGATGGTTAAGTAATTTTTATGGTCATCACACGTAGCAAGGCAGGAGCTGCCAGGAGCTGGGGTTCGCAGCTCGACAGCAAACACACTGCACAGTGGCAGAGCATTCCTGACAAGAGCCATCGCTTTTGAAGATTTAAGGCACCAAGTTAAGCAAAAGTGAGGGGGTTCCCAGCAGCTTGGTGTCTCCAGAGCTGGTATCTGTAGGGTGTACAGCTCACTTCACGAGGGCACAGCAAGCAGATTTATGCAGCTGTCCCTGCAAAGCAGCACATGCAGCCACAGGACAGCTTCAGTTTAGGTCTACAAGTCAATAAAAAGCAGGCTCGATCAGGAAATCCCAAATAGGAAGAGACATGCAAACGTACAGTACTGTAAGGCACTCCTACTGGGAAGGGGAAACTGGAAGGCAAATTATGAATGAGAAGATGATCAGACTCAACTGGTTCAACGTCAATGCAACGAGCTACAAAGCTTGAAGCCTGCGGACTCATCCCTGTCAGCAAAGACAAGAGACGGCGAGAAGGGAGGGACCGGCTTCCAGCAGAGCAGCAGCAAACAGGAGAGCAGATTAAAACAATTATTTGATTAAATTCCTTTTATGTAGACCAACAGGTGGTTGCAATCCAGCCCATGACTCAGGAAGCACAGAAATGCAATGGCTTCTGTCACTACAGGGGAAAAAAACAAAGTAGAAGCCACAGCTTCCCAATTTCACTGGAATCTGACACCGTACGCTGCTTTTTATTATTTTTTTTTTAGTGTTGCAGGATATTATCATCAATCTATTAACATACGCACAGTATGCTGATATTAATTACCAAGAGAGGCCTTAACAAGAGCATTGCTAAAGATGCTCTGATGTTTCATCTCTGAGAGCCATTGAAGCCTGTGGAGTACCCCGAAGAACCCAAATTCCTCCCTAAAAATATTTTACCCCATTTATCTAGGAGACCAGCACAGCCACCCGTTTCAATCAGCCCAGCAGCAAGTTCATACGGGTACGTGCCAACCAGGATAGTGGGTCACATCACAAAGGGATCGTTTTTCGTCACCAAAGGCAGACACAGGGAGGTGAGGGAAAGATTTCTACATAGGAGCGCCAAATATTTCAGGACAGAAAAGTAAATGGATCCAGAAGGGCTGTTTTCATTCTCCTAATTTTAGTGTGGCAAGAACACTAAAAATTAATCTAACAAGAAGAGTTTAGCAGTAAAAATCCAAACATCGATGCCTGAAGATTTGTTTTACATAGAGATTAGGACAAGGCTGAATTGAGACATCAAAATTCAGCAAGACTTGGTGAATTTCTCTTTCTGTGGTTTGACCATATTAAAAAAGTTGCAGTTTACATCCCTTATGTACATCCTTCCCCCACTAAAGGAAAGCTAGATGGTGTGGATAAAAGAGGAAAAAAAAAAAAAGAGGGTTGAACAAATGTCTATACATTGTCCTGTGCTAAAAAAAAAAACCTCAGACCAACTAAACTGAGATTTGAAATTTTCTGTGTAGTTGTAAAGAGAGAGGGCACCTCCACTCTGCTCCTACAGGACTGTGAGGGCTGTGCGAGGCAGAGCAGTAACTGGATGCAGGGATCAGTGCCTCCTCCGCAAGCCAAGGCAGCCCTTCCTTTTGAAGGAGGTGAGCAGCACATTTGCTGCGTGATCCACAAGGAAACGTTCCCGTTCAAACCTATTTCACCTGCGCGCGGAACGGGACGGGAGTTACCGCCACGTAACGTCCATTTGCGCGTGTGCAGGAGGGGAAAGATTCACCCAGGCTGGAAAACCCAAGGTGCTTCTGCAGCTGGGGCCCACACAAACGTCTACAGACCGCAGCACGCGGCAGGCTACGGGATGCAGGGTGGGAAATACGACTTGCAATGGGAAACGAACACGTATCTACGGGCTCCTAAATCCCAATCTGCTACAGTATGAAAACTGCCACCTCTTTTTTTTTTTTTTTTCCTTAATACCCCACCATTATGTCTGCAGCCAACTCAAAATACCCCCTGCCAACCCTGAGGGTTTCCGAGCCGCTGGCTCGGCCCTCGGACTGCGCTCGGTGACACGTGCTGAAAATAACACGGGAGCGGGCTGTTTGCTTAGCCAGGACGGCTGCAGTTGCTGTTTGCATGGCCAATTCCACAGCACGTCCCCAGTGTTTGCGTTTGTGAACGTGCAGGGAATTCTCCACGAGGGGAATGGATCTGCAAGGAGCATTGAGGATGACAGCTGAAAGTAACATGAAAAACAGTGAGCTGAGGCATTGTGTAGGGGAAGTACTAACTTTAAGAAAAGTACCTGATTCCCCAAATCTGTTAAATATGGGAATCCCTATACTGTTTTCCCAAGAACATGAAAAAACCCTCACTTCCTTCCCAAAAAAATAAAAATTAAAGAAAAACCACTGTGAGAAGGGCTTCTGGAAAAGAAAGGCACTGGTTGTCTAATGTGTACAGATATAAACATGCTTCTATATGTTTGTTACTTACACCCATTTGAAAAAGCTTCAATTCAGCTACTTACTCTGACTGGAGGCTGAAGAAGGTAACTACATACCCTCCAGCACAAGGCAATTCTTTGTGTAGCTTTCTTGACGCTTCACCTAAGCGTGATGTACCCTGCTCTTTTATTTAAAACAGTTCTGTCATTAGTGAGCTGCTTCAGTGACTGGGACTGCTTTCTGCCTTGAATACAACCTCCTACAGATTATATAGTAAGCAAAGATCAATGCTCTGCATTATAATAAAGCTATGTGGAAGGAGAGAAAAAATACACATGCACATGGGGGTGGGTTGTGGGTTTTTTTCCTGAAACCGTATTTGCTTTCTATGGACACATACATATATATGTACATATATATGAATGCATTAGTATGTACGCAATACACATTAGCACAGGGTCTGGAGAAAGAGCTAAGAATGCCGACTCAAGTGAGGAGGATCCCCAGGAACTCAGAGGAGGTGACACCATAACTAATTAAACACACTCTCAGTGGTGAGGCACATGTATTTCCCCAAACAAATCTACCACACACTCCTCTTTCACAATATATGCAATATTCCGTGTTTAATACTCCTCTGTGTTCCAGGTATGTAAGGCAGAACCATACCTTGAAGAACTTCCTCTCTCCACCACACACGTCACTACAGAAGTCATAAAATCCTTAGAGCTTCCAGACAGCATGGACACAAACTGCACATGAACATAGCAGAGAAAATAACGTTTCACAGCTTTGGAGATATTTTCTAACTAAGGAAGGACAAGACATTCTTTTGTTTAGCAGTCTAGGAGGCTGAGGTTAGAGAAGCAGGTCAAGTAAACTTCATGTGATAAAAACAAAACTGAAGTGAACACTTACAGCATCTTCAGATATGAGACTAGCAGGAAGTCAGAAACATCATCAGGTTACTGGAGATGAGGATGTGGTCTCAGCCAGATCAAGAGTAACTATCATAAAACTGAACGGACTTCATTGACGGATCGTTGACGATAAACCTACCCTGAACAAAAATGGCAATAAGGTCCCTGCTTATCTGCTTAGGTAATATTCCAAGGAGCTAGTTATAAATACATGAACACAGCTAAAGGAATTCTTCTGCATCTTAGGCTTGCAAACATCTTGAATAAGGTTGGTGGGAGATACCTTTCTTTCCTCAGGGAGGAGTGACAAATAAATGCACTGATCCTTTAAAAATAGCTCTCCATCTGGAAACATGAGGAAATGCAATTCCACATCCCTATCCGAAAGAGCATGTGAGCTTAAAACCACTCCTGCCCTACTGGGTTCTGTAAAATACCTCACCAAAACCTCTGCCAAGGCTAATAATAAATAATACAGATAAATAAGTAGATGAGCCATCAATTCTAAATGAGTAACATCAAAAATAATAATTAAGAATGTGGTCATGGCGGGAACTGTTCTCTGCCTTGAGGAAAAGTCGTCTCCAGAGGTGGAAATGAAAAGGTTGGGTGTTAAATTAGTTATAGCTAAAGCATTTCAAGTAAACCACATTTTGTATGAGAGCTACTGGCCGGACTTCAATGCAAAATGCAATTTGGCCATCAGTATTTCAAAGCCAAGAGGACTTTGTGGCCGCTTTGGCAGCTGCTATTCACAGATGAAGAAGGTGGTCAGATACTATTCTGCAAAAAGATTTCTGCCTGGCTGAGAAGTTGCTTGAGCTGGCACCAGGGGAAGAGACTCTCTTTGGGCTGCCCGTTGCCTCAGGGCAGTCATGTGTTCTGATATGACAACTCAAACATATTGTAAGACTCTTCAAAGTTTTCGTCCATGTTCAGTCGCCTCCAGAAGGATTTTTGCTTCTTCTGCAACTCCTTACGCACGCACCGAGGGCATGGCACGGCCTTCACTTTGCACTCAGAGTGGAAGACAGCACCACAGCTTTCACACCTGCAAACACAAATCAGCATCAAAATGAGTGACAAAACACGGCCAGAACATGCAATGGATTTGGAAAGGATTGTGGGCACCCTTCACATGTGTGCAGTAGCTCCAAGAGTGCTGTGGTTTAAAAGAGGGAAAGCTGCAAAGATCCAAGCTTGCCCACACCTCTGTAAAGCTGCTGTAAAGCCACTCAGGGCCTACCAAAATCCGCTGACTTTCATCCACTCGCGCTTGCTGAGAATCCCTCATTGCATTGCCACTGCATGGACAGAAATTACTAAAAGGATTAATACTTCTTAAAAAGTGGTGGTTTATGAAAGTTAATTTTGAAGCTTTGGTTTCTAAACAAAGAAATATTCATTTCCATTAAGATGTATTTTGGCATTTAGAACAATAAAGATTTGACATTTTGCTCATGACAATCCCAGTGGTTTGGTCAGCTATTCTGGAGAAGCAAAGTGTTGGCCACTTCAACCAAGTGGAAAAAGTCATTCAGCAAACGAAAAATGAACCACAGAAGCCGAGTGGACTATAATTTCTGCTCTGTGCCATGTGGAAGGACACACAAGATCATCCAAACTGCAGCTGTATATGATAACTTTGGACAAATCAAATGCTCTACAAGGGTGACTCTGAGGCACCTTGAGCCCGTGGATGTAACGTCACGGCAGGTCAATGCCCAGTCCTAGATGGCTTTCGAGAGCAGGCTGCGATCTCACCGTCTTGCTGCAGCTTTGTATCAAATGACAATAATAAAAGGATGGCAATGTCAGAGGAACTAAGGCTTAGTTTACTTTTGCATAAAATAATAATGAAAGCAACAAACATGAATCTTTACAGCAATTTTTGGATATAAATGAGGGCTCTGATCAGCTTTGTGAGTTCGTGGTCTCATGAGTCTTGCAACGCTTTGTACTTTCCTGAAGTCGCAGCTACTGTAGTCAAATGATTAGGTAAGAATGTGAGCTACCATTATTCTGCCTTTACTTATCGATCTTCTTTTTTTAAGAAGTAAGGCTCTTGCCTTCAAGACGGTGAGGAAAAATTGAAAATATGAAGAAATAAATTCTAAACTCTGAGGAACCAAAAGCCAAATAAAAGCTACCTTTAAAAGAGTGATATTCTACCTGCAGACTGGCAACACTCAGAGAAGTTCATAAGCTAATACAGACTTCTTTATTAATTATATTGGCTACATTTGCCTTTATAACTTTTAAAATGCAATTCTTGATCTGGCTATATTTTACATTCTGTACATGGCCCCAAAGCATTACATCTGTTCAATATTATGCTCTTTTTTCACTAGCACTTGATTCCCGTGTGCTTACTTCTAGGCCTAGCTGATAAGTCTAAATCAGTTTTTGAATCAAGAAACCAGCTCATATAGATATTTATCACTTCTATGATCAGAAAGAGATTGTGTGTTATGGTTGTGGCCCAGTAGAGCACATAAACACACGTATCAGGCTTGGTATCCCTGTGATTTCCTTGGGATTAGCAACCTGCCTAAATAAAGCATGTGCTCTGTGGGATGGGGATCTCCACGAGCAGACACACTAATGGATAAGAGACAGACAGCCGTGTCTTGGAAACTTTACATCATTCTGACCTGACACTAATGGTGATTTTATCAAGCTAATTCGCCCTTGTTAGTCAGCAATTTGCAATGTGCTGCGAGTTGCTGGAGGGCAATGATTGATGGGGAGCGCAATTTTGTGCTCTTGCGCCGCCGCTCCCCGCGCTTGCTCAATAATTCTGCCAGCACTCACGGAGGTGACAAAACTTATCAGAAATTGCTGCCGAAATGGATGCCAGGAGGATTAGAGAGGAGCCAGCACACCTGCTCCTCCAGCCAAAGGTCAGCCACCGAGAAAACAATAACAGATTAATAGTGTTTAAAATAATAGAAATTCATTTTCCCAAATAAGCTTGGTGGAAAAAACTAACAAACTCCTTATATCCCTCCAAGGCAAAGGAGGGAAGAAATGCCTGCTGGTGCTGCGGGCACCGCATGATGACTGCGCCGGCCTTCACCGCATCCCTCTCCGCTCACTGCCGAAGAAACCGTCACGCAGGGCCAGCGTCGCTGCCGGGCTGCGTTGTGGGAAACCCGGGTCACTGGCTCTGAAGTGATGGGGCTGCGCTCGGCCAAGCCATCCATGTCTTCGTTTTTCACCACGCCAAATTTAAAGTCACAAAGAGGGTTTGCGCAAACAGTGGAAATGTCAACTGGTCAACCATTCTTCATCTCACTGGGAGAAGAAACCAGCTTACAACCAAGTTTTTGCATGGTAGCTTCCCAGTTTTCCTTTCTATTTGCAAACCACAGCGCTCTGAAACATTTTTATTTCCCCACAGAAGAATTACGTTTTGTGGTCTACAAAAGGCTCGAGTAATAGTTCATTACGCTTAGTCACCTCACTCTTAACCCTGGTTATTGTCACAGGTAATTCATGGTTCAGGTGCTATTTCTGAATTTTCTTCCATTCTTTGGCTAGAGGCCAAAAGTCTTTACATCCTTTGTGAGACTTCAATACACTGCTGCTAATAAGCTGATGAGCCTGTAGTTATTCAGGCCTTTCATGTTTTCCTCTGTAATGAATGATATTGTGATACTGCACATTAATAGCATCTTGCTATTTGTCAAACATTATTTGTACAATTGGTGAACATGCATGTTGCTTTCAGGATGACTTCCAGCCTTCGAAGAAGGCATCTTAAATAGCTTCCTTTCTATTTTGGTATTTTCTCCATTTCCTCGCTCCTTCTTGGCCACCTCAATTGCTGCTGAGACAATAGGGGGTATTTTATGTTTTAATGCTAGAGGATTTTTTTCTTTTTTAATGTTGGAGTAAAACAAATGCAGAGAATTATTCAGTCCTCTAAATAATTTCTATTGCACTGAAAGAAAGAGCAAACCTTCCACAGCAAGACAGGCCAGACAGGCTTTATAGTGCCACCATTATTATTAATACTACTTACAAAATAAAACCTTCTACATTAAAAGCACAAAATCATTCCTTTTGTGCTGAGGAACAGCCAATATTAATATGTCCCATTGCGTATGGGCTTTTTATACATATCCATACCAATATTTGGCAAATTGTAGATTCTGAAAAATTGTTTTAATGGTTCCCACATGTATTTCACAGACTTATTGCCAAAATAATTCCCGATTCTGCACAGCCCATTGGCTATTCTTGTATTTCTCCTCTGCATGAGGCCACCACGGTGCCAAAGAGGGGCTGCCACACAAAAATACAGCCTGCCTCAAAGGTCTCTCACCTTGAGCACACAAAATAAACCAGGAATGATCGACTGGTGGCCGGGGATGCGGTCGGCAAGGCTGTTTTATCGGCCTCTAGGAGTCTTACAGGCTGGGAGGCCACCGGGGTGACCATGCTGGGATGAAGGTGCTGCCACCGGCCAAGAGGAGCCAGCTCTGGTACGTGGCCTTGTACGGCCTGGCTTCCCAACACAGATGTGTGAAACCTGCTCAGCCCCGACACGAACCCAGGCTGGGTGAGAGATGAACAGGCATTCCCATGTTAGACATGGGATCAAGAGAACTGAGGTTCCCAGGAGCTCTTGGAAGAGCTGACAAGTGAAAACAGCTTTTTCCTGTTTCAGTGAAATGCTGTACCCAGTTGTCATTCCTTCTCTCTAGTTATTTTATGTTTCCATTTTTTCACCTCCCCTGTGCCAGATCTAGCATACATTTGCAAGGAAGTTTCACCAAGGATTTGCTTCAGGACAGAGCCCTTCATTGCCTAGAACTCTTCAGGTTATTATTTTTCTTCCCATAAAGAGTGAAAACAAGAAAGAAAAAAAGAAAGAAAAGAAAGCACGGGTTGTTTATTATATTTTCCTTAGAAGATGCCAAATGTGCACTAAGCCTCCAAAGCACTAAGCCATCTGTAACTGGCTATTAAAAAAAAAAGAGCCAAACACAGTAGTTTAAACAAGCCTTTCCTAGGGGATTCCAGCTTGCCAGGCACTGGTGCCTGCCTGCAAGCACTTCAGTATGGTCCAGCTGTAAGTATCGCACTGGTGCCCTCCAGAACTTGAGACTTTAGCAAAACACATGGAAAAAAAAAAAAAAAACGAACTAGCTTGTGTTCACTGACAACACAGAAAGCCCCAAAGACAATCAATGCCCAACACGCACGTGCAGCTATATTATTAGAGTTGCTTAGGAACAAGTCCAGGAGGACTGCCTTGGGAGGAAAAACAGGAATCTGGGGTAGCAAGTGAATGGAAGAAAGTTGGCACTAATATAGCACTGATCTCCCCCTGGAAGGAGTTGTTTGGATAATGCCCTCTCTCCCTTCCCTTTCACAACACACTTACAGCATTAACCAGACACACGCTCTTTTTTTTTTTAAATACCGCGCTTAAACCCCAAAAGCCAGTATTAAAAGATGCAACCTGGAGCAGAGGTGTTAAAGTGCGGTCAGCGGAGCTTCGCGCAGACCAGGAATCCAGCCTGTCCCTTTACCTCTCACACTGTTAATACCCACTCCAGCATTAAACAAGGCACCAAAGGGACGGTGGAAAATAACACACCGAGTGTGTTTTCTCCAGACACAGCATCCATAACGCAGCCCGTTGCAACCTTGCAAAGCCCTCGGCACGTGCATGAAGTTAAGCACGGCCTCAGAGCCCTTAGGAAGACTTCTCACTCCGGGTAAAGCTAGGCGCATTCATAGGTCTTATCAGGATGGTGGTCAAAGGCATCCAAGCTGGTTGATATAGTCAAGCCTGTTCTGTGGCATGTCTATTTTAAACCTGGCTCTTCTGTTTTGTATCTTTGCCTACGTGTCTTAACTGATCTGCAGAGCAAATAACTTTGCAAAGTGAAAACAGTTTAGCCTTGATAAATGGATATGAGCACAAAAGAACCACTCTGCACGGTTCATACACATCTACAAGCACCACAAAAAGGCTCCCTTAGCCAAGGGAGCAGCTTTAGCGGCTCAACACAGCAAATCACTCATGAGAGCAGTGACTTGTATGCCAACACATTGGTAAGATCAGAACTTTCTTAACTGGGCAGCATATACTAATTTTAACCAAAACTGTAACTACCTAATTGTATTGAATAAATCTATACTCATTCCAGGGGCATTTTTCTCACTATTCCTAAAGATTTAAAACTTGCTAAAGGTGTTTTAGGTCATAAAACAAATAAGGTAATGTGTTATGGACTCATTGCATGGGCATTTTTTCATTTCTGCTTTTCTTTTATATTTTAGGAGATAGAAACAAACTTTTCACCATGACAATGGTGACGACTCAAGGGGAAGTGCCTAGTCAGGAGCAAACAGGCAAGTATAGCTCTAATCAGCCAGTTTATTTATCCCTGATTTAAATAATCAGGGATATTTAAACTTATTTCTCAATACTTTTGTAAATGAAATTAGTAATGTGATAACATAATTTTATATATTTAGTTGCTAAATTTAAAACCAGGGCAAATTTTCATCCAAGAAATTAAACAGGAGGCAGATGCTCAGGTGGCTTAAGTTGCCAGAGCTTCAGCAAAAGCAGAGCTGTGGCAGTTCACATTATTTGCCAATTTGCTCCTTGAAATGTTTAATTAACTCAGGAGCCTTTAAATGTCATTCTCATGATTTTAAGACCTTCAGAAAGAGACAGATTTTGTGAAATTCAAAAAGAACTATGATGAACTCTTACATAAATGTGGGGAAAAAGGGCAGAAAGCAGGAGAACAGAGGAATCAAACATATTGGAAGAGGCACCCAAAAGGTTGGGCTAATTTCTCAGATTTTTCTTTAGCTGCTGAATTACAATCTTCATAGAGCTTCATGCAGAATGGCCACCTCCCATGAAAAGGCACAGAAAAGAAACACAAGCAGGAAGCCTCTGACTCTGGGAGCCCACCATGACACTCACGTGGTCACGGAGGGACCCTGCCAAGCTGGGCCCACAGACCCGCTAATTAAGTGACCTGACTGTGTTTGTTTTGGAAGCGTTGGCCAACAGAGGAATGTGTCACGCTGATTAGGGAGAGGAGGGGATGCAGTGTATGTGTATTCAACACCCGCAGAGCGCATAACCCAGGTATTCGCTCTGTTTGCTCCAGCACTGACAAAAATTAATCTTGAGCAAATAATGTGACCAAAGAGAAACTGTCCCTCAAGAGAGGCCCCCTTTTCTTTCAGATATATCTAAGCAAGAAGCCATCCCTGATAAATTTAGCTGAAAACTCCTCCAGGAACTGATGAGAATATTCTGGAGAGAAACAATCTCTCTGCCTCAGGGCTTCTCTTGGAGCCCACAAAGCCGGAAAGCTGTCAGCCAGCTGAGACCTTCCTTGGCATGAGGAGGCTGCTCTGACAGCTGCCACTCTTCTCTCCAAAGAGCACGAGAGGTCAGGGAGGTAGCCAGAAACACAAACGCCTACTCGACACACACACACACAGCAAAACACACTAACGCACTTCACTTTTCAGATGTTCAACAGAGAGGCGAGGTTGGAAAAGCTGCACGCAGCCCCTTTGGAGTATCTATCCTGGCAACCTCCTCTGCTGACATGCTCAAAGCAGGTGAGCAACATCTGAAAGCAAGAAGGAAAACCAGGTCTTCAGCGTCGCGCTGCTGCTCTGCTATTTCAGCAGCTACTGCTGGGCTACTTCAAAGCCAAGGTGGCCACGCGTATAAGATGTTTGAGTACTAGGATGGAGACAGCAATTCTAGCAAAAAGAGGACACAAAAACAGAACTGTAGTCAATTCTCGGTACACATGATGGACTGAGAACAGTGCAACCGAATCACAAATCTGAGTTAAGTGTCTACTCAGACATATGTTCCATGCTTAACCGACAAGCAAAGCCAAATAAACATCATCAGAAATTTGAGATACAACTGCAAGTCTTCACACTAATGCTGTGTTGCCTACAATTTCATCTGCTTTAGGTTATTGTGCATATCAACCTATTTCTAACTAGTCTCTTTCTTCACCTTATGAATCCCACTGTAGTGGTAAGGAACCTACCTCAGTCACCTCTGTCATCTGCATAAGATGGAAACCATCACCAGAACCTCTCTGCCAGGCCTTCTCCCCACTGCTTTGCAGATGGTGGAGGGGAGGAAACACTACAGTTTCCCTGACAGCATGACCTGTCTCCAGCCTGAAGGTGGAGAAGAGCAAAAATATGGAACTGAAATAATCCTGTTAGTTTCATAACAGTGCCTGGGCTCGCAGGAGCAGTAATGAGATGAGAAAACTAACAAGGAAGGGAAATGGAAAAAGATGAAGATAAAAGCAAGGTTTAGTGATAAGGAGGACAAAAGGAGCAAACAGAATGACCTCTGGGGGGAAAAATTATATTGGAGATTGGAGAGAACAAAAATAATTTTTGGTTTCTAATGCACATAAAAACAGAGATAGCAGTTTCTTCTGGCTTTTATTGAATGCTGACAAATGCTATCTGGGTCCAAAAATCTCCCAGGCAAATCAAATACAGAGATGCTTCAGGTGAACTTGTCTTCCTAAATACCTTTATGTTTTTATCAAGATTTTTTTAATTGCCTTATACAGTCTCAACAGTCATCATGCTGCAGTTCATCTTAGTCTCTCCCTTTTTAACTAAACCTACCTCATTGTGCACTCCAGATACATTTTTTTCTTGAAGACCATTTATTGAGTTAAACTACACACCTTGTTTAACTTATGTCCACTGCTTTGTCTCTCTGCATTTTTTTGGAATGTGAATCTGGGGCAAGAATGTGCAAATAGTCTTTGAAAGTCACACTATGCTGAAATCCCCAAACAGGAGGCCTTCGTTAGTCCCCATTTAACATCCTTGTGCATACAAAGGAATCAAATTCTAAACGAAGCATTTTGAACAGGTTACTCCTGAGTGTTTCCACCTTTCCAAAGGTGGCTCTCCACTTTGCTTTTTTTAATTCTTCAATACAACTATTTGGAGAACAAATTAAAAGGACTGTATCTGAAAAAGCCAGGTACTTCTGCTAAACTGTCATATATACCATCTTTCTGCTGCAGGAAAAAAAAAAAAAAAGAAGAAGAAGAAAAAAAGCAACCTTTATTCAAAATGAAAGACATTTGGTAGCAAAGTTCCGTTGCCCAATCTGCTCTGGTTTCCTGCATTTTGCATGGTTCTCCATGCAATTGCAACTAGATATAGTCCCCTTGACTTCTTGTCCCTGTCCTGTCATCACGTACTGCATAGAATGTTAAATAAATATATATTTTTTGTTTTACTCAGTGCTTGGTATACCTCTGTATACCTATATTTACACGCCCAACTGAAAATAGTAGTCTAATAATGATGATGATGATGATGATGATGATGATGGCTCATGGTGGCCTTCCTGGGCAAGTAATGTAGAACAGCTGTCCAGAAATGTGAATCAGTGGGATCTGGTCCCTAGTTATCTAAAAAGACTTAACTAGGGCTGGAATCTGCAAGGATACTATGTGCGTGTCGAATGCAGGAGTGACATATAATAGCGTGACATATAATACCTGCTTGTGGAAAGGTCCTCAAAGGGGTAAAGGATTTCTCCATTGTTGCAAATCTCACAGATGAAGCCCTTCTGGCTACAAAGGCTGCAGCTGTACACATGAGAGGTGGCAAACTTGATCACCTTCCCTAAGAAAGGGGCCAGCTTTCCTTCGATAACCTGAAATGAGAAGACGATGATATTGAATGAACCCACAAAGGGACCAGAATTCCTTGAAAGACTTTTTTATAATATTTATAAATGCAGGGATTGCAGGAAAGTACTTTTCCAACAGTTATAGAAGTGTGAAATCACATAAAATAATAGTGGCCAATGAACTGGCAATGACCAAATGTAGAAAAAACGTATTACTATCTGTCTCTACATGGTAATGACATACAATAATAGTGATCACTGTAAGCACAACAACGCATTCACAGATTAAATCTCAAGAGTAAATATGAAAAAAAAAAGTTAAGACTTCCATTATCACCATCTAACCAACAGCTACAGAGACCACCTTAAATTTCTGAGTTTCATTTATTGTTAACTTTTATGTTAACTTTATGCTAGTTGTTTATCGTTAGCTTTTAATCATAGTTTTGTCTCTTCTTCCTTTCCTCATAAGCACAGTTTTAGCCCTCGGGCTATTTCTCATGAGCAGACTCCTGGCTTTCCTACTTCAGTAGCTTTTCTTTTTTTCCATTGATAAGCATTAAAGTACATTATTTAGTCACTCCTGTAATGAGGTGAATTCTCGGATAAACTCTCAGTCCTAGTCTCTTCCCTCCGCGTCCAGCTCTCAAATCCAGAAGCCCCTCACACCCCACTGCCAAACAATCCTGTTAGACCATTAGAAGTGATTAGCACTCCCTGTGTTGGCGTGAAAAAACCTACCATGTAGCCTCGATTAAACTGCTAGCCACAACACTCATCTAAATTTGTGACTCAGCGACAATGTCTCAATAAGGGGTGGTATTCAGGCGAAATACTTTCCATTCAGATTAAACTTCCAGAGCCTTTAAGGAATGTTGCTGGCGTAGGGAATAATGAAGATGGAATAAGGCCCTATGTGTATATTCTTCTCTGCCAGGCTTCCTGTGGTCTGAATGGCAGCCTGCCAGATTAGTGACAGAAACGTGTCACACAATTTGATAGTGACCTCCTATAAGAAGCAAAAAGAAAGCAATAATTGCTGTTTGAAGGCTGTGCCCTGAAACCTAAGAGTGGGAAGATTTACACTTAAATGTGTGCCAGACCCAGCCCAGCCCCTCACCCACACTGCTTGTAATGGGGGGTTAGTATAAAATGATGCAGCGTAGGCACAGGTTGAGGCAGAGAAGAGCAAGGGGCACTGCAGAACCCTTAGGAAGGCAGGAAGGAAATAAATTTGCACTGCTGGGTATCTTCTTCCCCGTTAGCTGAGCTGGCCACAGCTAACAAGTAGCCAAGGCACCTCGTGGCCAGCGCGGATGCTGATGGCATTGAGCGGCGTGGGCCGCTCCGTGCCCTCGGTCGCCCCGGGCTCTAACAGCACCTGCAAGCACAGGAAGCAGCAGTGCTGTTGCTAGCACCACGAGAGGACATCTGGTCCTGCTGGAGGAAAAACGACCCTCCTATTGCATCCTGGTATAGGAAGAGACCCTTAAGCCAGAACACAAACAACGTGCAGGGATCGCTGCTTGCGACAGAAAAACGAAGGCACAGTTCAAGGTAGCTGCCACTGACCTCCTAACAGATGTGAGCCCAGCTCCCCTAGAGCAGCTTCTGCCTTTCCGTCCAAAGGAAGAAATTTTCTGCTTTCTGACTCCAGAGACACGGAGGGTCATGAAGGGTGGGAGCAGGGAAAAGCTGCAGAACTTAACGGCAATCAGGGAGCAGGAGGAAAGAGATGGCAAGGCCACCCAGACGTGGCACTGCCAGGGCCATGCCCAGCAAAAAGCCATTGCACACCAGCAGCCAATACACATTTGCAAAGCTAATAACTGAACCACAATATACGCACATTGTCGAAGCATTTTCATGCTATCCCAATCACCTCTAACACACTATACAAGCTCAGCTCAAAATACCGTACTGAAAATAGAGTATCAACAAACTCTAAATTGGGACTAATGCCAGCAAGACTTCAGAGTTACACTGCTGAACTAAAATTTTATTTTATATAAGGTAGTGTATAAAATTAATACATCTATTACCATCCTAAGCACCAGAGGTGAATTTAAGTTTGTAGGAGAGACAGAGGTTTTCCCCATCACAAAGAAATCACCACCCAAGCACATTAGACTGAGACTAGGCAGCTGCCTGTTAGGAGCTAGTGTTATTCACCACTATTTATTTCTTTATTTATTTGTAGGGCTCATCACAGCACTATAGTGGGTTGACTTGTACCTCTGACCACTGCAGACATACAAGGAAGATGATATCTTCAAAGAACCACACATGCCAATTTTGCAATGTGAATTACAGGCCATTTTACTGTATTACAGGAGGAAGACAAAATGCAACATCAAACTGATCTTATCACTATTTTTAGCATCTGCAAATTTTGTGTCATTTTACTTCATCACAGACACCAAGGCTGTGCAGAGGATATGATTCTCTCTTGCAGCCTTCTCTCACTCATGTTTATAACTAATAAAATTCTCATCTCCATTTACCCTGGCAAGCAAAGGCAGGGTAAATAGAGATGAGAACTCTGGCAGCATTTCTAAATGCTGGCCCCAGAGAAGAGTTTCACAGCAAAAACAAGCAAGTGGAAAGGGAGTAATAAAAGGTGTCAAAACTACTCGGATGACTAAGCACTCCCTTGTGACAGACAGAGACCCGGGATGGGTCGGTTCAGACATCCCAGAACCACGATGGCAGAGACCCAGGACATCCTCCACGCTGATGCTGGAATCGGATCTTGAGTTTCATGGAAATGCAAGCGATTAAAGAGAAGTGCGTTACACAAACATAATGTGTTAGGAAGATTGACCAGAGTAACCATGTGGAGGACAAAAGAGGCCACGCGGGCTGTTCCTGTGCTGCGAGGAGCAGTGTGAGCTCTGGCCGCGCTGTTGGAGGAAACCTTTTGAAATTTCAAGGCTGCAGATGATGCCTTCAATGCTGGGCATCAAACGTGCTGCTCAAATCAGCCCTGTGGACCTGCAGGAGTTCAGTGACACACATTTGTCCAGCTCCCAAGAGCATTCAGGACATCATGGTGGTAAAAACACAAATGCTACTTGTATCTCAGCCTGGCTCTTAGGCAGACACCAAGACCTGGAGACATCGACAGAACACAGAGAGCAGCCACCAGCAGGTCCTCCTGGCAGGTCAGCGGCAGGAAGGTCTCTTCTATAATACACAGCAGGTCTGAAAAATATGTCCATTAACCTAGATGCAAGCTTCTACATTCAGTGGGCTTTCTTGTAAACCATCAGAAAATTACATGTGTTTTTTTTTTTAAAAAAAAAAGCGGGGGTAGGGGGAAGGAGAAAAAGCGGCTCAATTTGGTCTCTGAGACTGCAGCTCTTATTCACACATGGAGCAGGAAAATTGCAGTATCATGTTCAAGACCTGCAGCCAGTAATGGTCTGTTGGGACTAGAAAGTAATATATATAATCCATCCCTTTCGGTTCTCTCTGCTCTGCCTGTAATATTCTCACACCATGAAAAGAAAGCACATTAAGAGAAATGCTAGAGGACTATGTTTTCCCACATATCTATATCCTTACCACAAATACACTTGTTCCCATTTGCATGTCTAAAATCCCACTGCAATATTCTCAGGCCTGTTTGATGCATTTAGAAAGAATTTAGATCTTCAAAACCACCTAATACTCTTTAAGCTAATGAAAAGTAAATGTCCCAATCCTTTGGTGTCTGAGCTAGTAGGAATCAACTGCCTGCATGAGGATCTTTCCAGACACGTCAGAAATTTATGAATACAGGTAAGTCAAGCTTACTTCTCTCTGTAACTCTGTGCTATGCCCAGTTGGGTAGCAGAGTAAATCCAAAGAAATGATTAAGTCCCCTACGAGCAGAGGGGGAGATAGGGAAAGTGCTGAGCACTAGCAGCAACAGCTGTGAGAGTTTGCCTGTGGGGAGGCAAAATGCATGTGCACTGGGTATGTTTTTCCTGATTCAGCATGAAGAGGGAGAGGACGAAAGACAGCAGGGCTATTGTACAAGTCCAAATCCCTTTGGACAGACCATATGACATGATCACGAGGGCAACGCGCAATCACTCAAAGTTGCGCTGCTTGTCAGGATGGCCGCGGGTCCTCTGGGGTGTTCTGATTCTTCTCACTCTGTCAAGTTGTCTTTTCAGGTAGTGATGTGCAGCCAACTACATCCAGAGAGGAACTGCAAAGGCCGTGGCCTGCAGCATCCTTCACGGGCAGAGGAATCTGTAGTCCACTATGGGCAGAGCACAAGGGGCAGCGCACCGGCCTCCACGGACAACTTCCCGGAGCAGCAGGAGCAGCCCCAGGTGCCCTGGCTGGTGTCCTCGTCCTCTCCCTTCACGACACATTTCTGAGCCCCTCACCCTACCCTGCACCACAGCCAAAGGAATCCTATCTCGCTTCAAATGCTCCTGTCCTACAGCCCCATCCTGACCCCATCCTCATCCCAACTCTCTGGGCTAAGCACAGCTCTGGTAGACGTCCTTCTCATGGACAACATGTGCATTTTTCATATCAAAAACTGAACTAGTAAAGGAGACGGTTGAAGTAAGAACAGAAGAAGTTCTCTCTGCCAAGATGTACTTTGACCAACAGAAATAGAGATCTAAACTCAGATATTTAAACAACTTTCTATTTGGAAAACAGAATAACACAAAAAGGACACCCCAAAAAATCTTAAGCAAAATTAATTGTTCAAGTTTCATTTAGCCCCTCAGTGACAGTTGTTCAAATAAGAATAACGCACAGCCTCCGACTGGGTGTCACAGGAAAGCAAACACTGCCTATACAAGTAAGGACACATTCCCTGCCCAGACTCGGACCACTTCATTCTCAAAGAGAGAAAACTTGGAGGTTTTAGGGACAACTATAGGTAAGAATAAGTGAACAGACAGACAAAAACAAAACAAAACAAAAAACCCACACACAGAAAGAAGAACGAGTCACTTGTAACCCTCTGTTGCTTCAAGTACCACCACCATACTCTTCTGTCAACCTGTGAGCCG